GCAGTGGAAGGTGTCAAAGCAGTTTGGAGAGAAAAACAAAGTAAAGAAAAAAACGATTAATCGATTATTAAATTAGTCATCGATTATTTTAATAATCGATTAGTCATCGATTAATCGTTGCAGCTCTAATGGAGACCTAAAAAACCTTTGTTTCAGTTATTATCCACTGAGGCATGTTGAACAGGGTGAGTTCTTACAGAAGCTGAGTTAAAAACTGAGGTTTTCTTTCAGARTAAAAGTCCCCTGCATGGTATTAATTGGCTGAGGGTGGTCCTGGATGAAGGACACGTCGTAAGAAACCCAAACGCACAGATGAGCAAAGCTGTGCTGGAACTGAAAGCTCAGCGGCGCTGGATTCTCTCAGGTACTTTAAAATAAAAAAATAACAAAAAACTTTAGTTACTTTGTGTGAGAAGGAATGAAAATAACGAGAGGAATTAAATTTGCTGTGAAAAGACAGAGGCTGCTGAATGACTGCTGGAGTTCGTTTAATTGTTCAAAATTCAAACAGAACAAAAGCTGAAATCAGCCAAACTAAAGCTAAAAGCTTAAATCAGTAGAACTACAGCTAAAAGTCAAATTTAACAGAACAGAATTCAAACAATAAAATTAACAAAATAAGCTTAAATTAGCCAAACAATAGCTAAAAGCTACAATGAGCAAAATATTAGCTAAAAGCTACAATTAGCAGAACTACAGCTAAAAAAAGTTGTTGCATGTTTAAAAAATGTTAGAAAAAAAAGCTAAAATTACCAAAACATATATAAAAGTGCAAGTAACCAAAAATGTAGCTCAAAGTGAAAACCATCAACACCGCAGCTAAAATCTAAAATCTGCAAAACTGGAGGTAAAAACTAAATTTAGCAAAGCAGTAGTTAAAAGTGAAACTTTACTAAACAGTAGCCGAATAATAAAATTAACAAAAGCGTAGCTAAAAGCTAAAATTAATATTAGCTAAAAGCTAAAATAAGAAAAATAGTAGCTAAAAGCATGAATTTGAAAAACTGCAGCTAAAACCAGTTGCTACATGTTTAAAAATGTTACAAAAATTTTTGCAAATAGCTAAAATTACTAAAACATTTAAAAGCTTTGATTAACAAAAATATAGCTTAAAGCTAAAATCAGAAAAACCGGAGCTAAAAGTTAAAATCTGCATGTCTGGAACTAAAAGCTAATTTTAGCAAAATAGTATCTAAAAGCTAAACTAATCAAAACAGTAGCCAAACAATAAAATAACAGAACTATAGCCGAAAGCCTAAATGAGTAAAACAGCAGCTAAAAGTTACAGTGAACAGTAAAAGCCACTTTAGAAGAACTACAGCTAAAAACAGTTGCTTTGTGTTGTCAGGATGTTAGAAAAAAATGTTGCTAAAACCAAAAATGACCAAAAACATATCTAAATGTTAAATTTAACAAAAATGTAGTTTTAAGCTAAAATTAGTAAAACCCTATCTAGAAGCTAGACATACCAAAACAGTAGCTAAGAGATGCAGTTGACAGAAGGACACAATAAGAACGCAGCTGATGCAGATTTCAGGAAAAGAAATGCTGAAATTAATTAAATTTTTTTTGGAGGGGTCGGGTTGCTGTTAATGTGAAAATAGAATAGGATAATGATCTGATGTTTTTGTGATTTTTTTTCTACAGCTGATTTTAGATCACAAATATTCCAATCATTCAGTACCCACGTGGTTTAATGGAGAAAATCCAGGTGACAGTTGCTGTGGTTCCTTTCAGGTACTCCTATCCAGAACAGTGTGAAGGACCTGTGGATGCTGCTGGCCTTCCTGCGTCTGAAGCCCTTCGATGTTCGGGAGTGGTGGAACAGAGTGATCCAGAGACCCGTCACACAAGGAGACAGAGAAGGCCTTCAGTGAGCGTTTACTCACAGATTTACTGCTGGACTCCTGCACTGCCTCAATAATACTCCAGAGGGCGCCATTGTCTGAGTGAAACCTTGAGTCTCTTACCTGAATATGGCCTTTAAAAGCACAAAAAATGCTACAATTCAGTCAGTTTTACAGATATTGAGCTAAAATTTGATATCGTAGTAGCTAAAGGTCATTTYCAGCCTAAAATTTGAGCAAGACATCATTCAGTATTGAATAAGATTGCACACGAAATGTTACATTAATTCAAGGAACATTTAAATATTTTTACTTTGGCTTAATGTAATTAATAGGTTTATTGTTCTGTTTTGTATGAGTGAGAATAAATAAGTGCTGCATAAAATGTGAAGAAGTATAAAAAGTGTGTATGACTGGGTGAAAGAGAAACTCTTTAAAGCGTTTTGTAGACTTTTTTTTAAAAAATCGGACCACTTGATGCTGTGCACAGAAACCTCCAGAACCTGGTGAGGTGCATCACCCTGAGGCGGACCAAGAGCAGCGAGCTAAACGGCCGCCGACTGGTGTYGCTGCCGGAGAAGTCTGTGTTTGTGGAGCAGGTGGAGCTCAGCCCGCAGGAGAGGGAGGAGTACGAGCTGGCACGTACCGAGGGCAAACGTACCGTCGGCAGGTAACGGGTGGGCTGAGTGGGGCTGAACACGTGCAGGCATGTTTGAGGAGACGAGGTATGGGAGTATCTACAGCACAAAGCGTGTCATGTTGTACTAACAGTATAAATATGTGTGCGTTTTACAGATACGTAGCTGAAGGGTCGGTCTTGAGGAACTATGCTGATGTTCTCGCCATCCTGATGAGGCTCCGCCAGCACTGCTGCCACCCTGACCTGCTGCCCAACACACCATCAGATTTAGGTCAAATACATCTGTAGTTATTAAGATTATCACACTCAGGAATAATATCAATGTTTTGGAGAAGAGTGATGAAAAATTAAACAATTAGGCAAATTAAGCATGTTATTAAAGGCGGAGTTTCAGACTGAAATCATCGTATGTTGGATTGTAGCGGTTTTGGTTAAACCTTGGAAAAAATATTACGTGTAATCTCATGAGATGTCGCAACCCTCATACCAAATTTTAGTCTGATGTCTGTAAAGCTGAGAGTTTTTGTGTTTGTTGATGTTGATTATTTGTGGCGGTCACTCCGAAAGTTATCAGCTGTAGATTTTTAATTATTAATTTAATAATTTCTGCACATTGAATGAAATTTGTTTAGCGCTTCATTGTGTGGGATTTCACTAAAACAATCTGCTTTTGCCACCAGTGTTTTCTRGCCAACTTCTAACTTATTTCTGGAAACACGAGACGTGTTGTKAACCGCGCTGCACTTCCACAATTTACAACTTTTTGCGTCAACTTTTCAGGAGCAGCGGTTAAATCAGTTTATTGTTGTGGAAGCTCAAGGCAGCTGGAGAAAACCCTGCTATTGATAACGATGTATTTTTTTTACATGTGAATTCAGATGTGCATGGTCCCCATTTAGTTTTAGTTGTGGAGTTGTTGGTTTTAACCAACCAGAAGAAATTAATTTTAGGATTATTTTTTAGGATTTTTGACAATAGGAATTTAAAAATACTGTATGTGACCCATCACATCGAAATGAGGATTAAGTCTAAAAGTGATATATGGAGAAATAAGACAAAAATAATGTTTTGATAAAAACACTTCCGAAAATTGTATTTCGTCAAAATATAAAATAAATGCTTTATAAGTGTTTCATTTGAATGAACTATAAAATTTAATCATAAAAATTTTTTTGAAGCACTTTTTACAGCAGTAGCAACAAAATAACTGATTTTGAGGAAAAAACACCTTCAAAGTTGAGATTTTCCCTGTGAGCTAGCAAAATTTTTGTTTCTTTCCAGCTTGGAAATCTCAATATTCATCAATGTGAGGTTTCTTCTTCATAAGGAAATGAAGAATTTCTCATAAAAATAACATAAAATTAGGATCCAGACCAAATATTAATGTTTTATCATAACGAACAAGACAAATTATGTCATATCTCTGGATAAGCTTATATCAGAATGGTCCAGGTATCAAAATGTAGCTTTTAAAGCCAAGAATCTGAAAGTGTAATTAGGTCATTTTGACCATATTTTACTTAATCCTCATTTCGATATGATRAGTCACATATAATTGTAAAGATCATGATGTTATCAGTCTGTTATTTTTACACCCATTAGGTGAACAGCTTGGCTGTTTGCACCTTTTTACTTTAACACCAGTGTGGCTCTTGTACTGAGCAGTGGGGGGAGAAGAAATCCAGTGCTGTGTTGAATTTTTTATTTATTTTTTATTTTTGGAGTTGCAGTACAAAACCTGTTTGCTCTTCTTTGGATCTACCTAACGTAAAGTCATATTTCCACTTCCTGTTCCCCCTTCCTGCATGCAGGCACAGCGGCGACGCCCGCAGAGCTGCGGGAGCGTCTGATAGAAAAGCTGCGGTTGGTGTTGGCCAGCGGCTCCGACGAGGAGTGCTCCGTGTGCCTGGACTCCATCAACCTGCCCGTCATCACGCACTGCGCCCACGTTTACTGCCGACCCTGCATCGCCCAGGTCATCAGCAACGAGCAGGTGCACCTCAAGCTCTCAGCATCATTGTTTTKTTTTTTTTTAAGTTCGCACCRCCCATCATTTCTCTTAATGATGAATGATTTACAGGAGAGGGCTCGGTGTCCTCTCTGTCGAAGTGAGATCAAGACCAGTGAGCTGGTGGAGTTTCCACCAGAGGAGATGGAAGAGGACAGAAGTAGGAGCTCCGAGAGGTGGAGGACGAGCTCAAAGGTATTCACTGCCTGATCTGAGACCAGAGGAGAAAACCTAAACGTTTCTCTGCAGAGCAGTAAAATAAGGAATGAAACATAAAAAAGTTGCACTTTACAAATCGTTTGGTTTTTCACTGACCTTCTGCATGTCGGCTCATTTTTTTATATTCAAAGTAAAGTTTACAAAATCTTACCTTTAACGTGTTTTCTGTGTTTGTGCAGGTGAAGGCTCTGATGGGAGGCCTGCTGCGTCTGCGATCAGAGGACAGCAGCGTTAAATCTCTGGTTGTCTCACAGTTTACACGCTTTCTCACCATCCTGGAGACTCCACTCAGGTAACACACACACACTGGACTTATATTTGTAGTTGTTTTTTATTTCATTTTGCTAACAGAACTGTTTATTTCTTTATCTGGTCATTTGTTAGATGATTTTCCTGCATAAACAGAGTGTATACAGTGCATAAGGCTGGGCGATTAATCAGATTTTGATCTTGATTACGATTTGGGTTTTCAGCAATCATAAAAACATAATGGGCCACATGCAAGAACCGTTTGTACGCACAGATTTGTTCTTAAGTTGTGCGTACGAGTGATTTAGGAGAATTTG